CGACTCTCGATTTATGTTCAGAAAAATAGATAAAAAATTGTAACATCATACCGTATAAGTTAGCATTAGGGGTATTTGTGTTAAAATCGTAGTTCAACCGTGGTTAAAATCAGACTTGACGGTGCTCTAACCCGAGCCTCGATGTATCTTCAGAAAAAACTCAAGAATTGTAAAACCATATTGAAGGTCGTAGCGGAAAGTTAGCATTATGATATTTATACTAAAATCGTAGTTCAATCATGGTTAAATCAGGCTTGATACTTTCCTTCAACCGAGCCTTATGTTCAGAAAAAATAAAAAATTGTAAAACCATACCGAAGGTCGTGTCTTAAAAGTTCGCATTAGGGCATTTTATGCTAAAATCATAGTTCAAATGCGATTAAATAGTTTATATAGCTAAAATCACCTACTGATTTAGATTATGTTAGGATTTTTTCAAATGGACCGCTGCTAAACACGATCATAAATCAAATATGGATTTGTGAACAATACATCTAATCCTATGAGAAGCCGTCGCGAAGTGCGGCACAAAATCTACCTAGTAGTTATAACCGTTGTACAGATTGTGTTTTCTAGCTACAGCCATGCCATGGAAACTAGAGACCACTTATTTGCAGTATAAAAACTCTATTTGCAGGCCTTCGTTGCTCCTCCTATTCTATTCTAGAACTCTAGGAGACAAGTGGGACATAGAGTTTGAGTGGTTTGTTTTTCACAATTTAGAGGGAAAAACAAAGTGTTATTTGCACCTCAATGATAAGTGAAATATGGATGGAAAATTTACATAAAAAAAATATGGATGGAAAGATGTTCCTTCGTGTTGCAGGGGTTGGGGAAAATGCATATATATATTTTTTGATAGAAATGCTTCTGCCTTTATTAATGGGATAATGGGTTTGTTATAGTAGCATCATTTTGTAAAAGAGATAAAAGGGAACAGGTGATCTATCTACCCATATGGTTTCCCCTTCCCAATAACACTCAGAGTGGGTCATAAAATGGGCCGACTCATTAAATTTTTGGCCCACGAACTTCCAGTCAATCCGGCCCACCTTAAGGTCAGCTTCTTGATTTCGTCACAAACCCGGCCTATCTCCACCTTCGTCTGTCTTTCTCCTCGCATCATTCTTTCCACTGCTTGGCAGTCTGTATGAATTTCACTGGAGAAGAAATGATATCGACCGGCCAGCTCGACGCTAAATTCCGTTGCCATAGCTTCAGCAATTTTCGGATCCTATCATTGCAGCGATCGCCTAACTGCCGCCAAACAAAAAGAGCTTGCTTTGTCTCTCACCACCACCCCCATCCCAGTTCCTTGATCCGTCAGGCATGCAGCGTCGACATTGATTGTGAAATCAGTCGCCGCCGACGGAGACCAACTTGTAATTGCATCGTTGGGCGAAGGTTCTCTCTTCTGCTGCGCGTCCAGGTATTCATCCAACCATCTGCTTGCTCGTGAAGCACAAATGCAGGGGAACGACATCCGAGAGGTTAAAGCTCGATTTCAGGTATGGCGACGAGGCCCGATTTTCCCAACTACTTGGTCGGGGGCCGCACAGAAATCGGTGGCGATTCGACTGAGATCTGGCGGGCGGCAACGGAGTTGAGCTACTACAAGAAGAACGAGTCGAGGGAACCGGTGGAGAGCCATGGAGATTCGTTCTTGATTGACATCGATTCGTTCGATGATGGCGTTTGCCGGCGGCACCGAGTCAACGACGGAGGCGGGTGTGGTGGTGAGCTGGATTCTTCTTCTTCAGGATCTAAAGAGCCGAACCCATGCCTGGGGAAGAGCAGTAGTCGCAATGGGGAAAGGGTTGGTTAAAATGGGGGGAAGGAATCTTGAGTGGTACTTTCAAGGATTGGGACAGAGGAAGAGTTCTGGGAAATTTCTGGAGAGAGAGATCCCTGAGCTTTTACTCGGACTGAAGATAGGTTAAGATGGTTGGGTAGTGAGAAAGGTAGGTGGGTTGGGTTGTTTGATTAAGTTTTATTATTTTATTATTAATTTTGATGATATGGATTGGTGACTGGATTAAATTAACAGAATTTTGGATGGAGAATGACGGAATGACCATTTTGTTTTACGCTTAAACTTGTATTACCAAATCGTGCAAAAACAAAGGTTTATGACCGTTTTGTACAAAGCGCAAAGGTTTGTGACCATTTATGATAACTACCCCAAAAAGGACAGCCTTCGCTGCCTTCTTGAATCCGTTCGACGATTTAGCACCTGTATGGAGGATATTGCGAGCCCACTTCCACGCAAAGACCTTCACCTTTTGTGGGATATGGAGCTTCCATAGTTTGTCCCAATTGACTGGAGAATAGGTTTCCCCCCCTCTCTTCTCATCTCGGTTTATCCACGGCTTATATGCAGACTTAATGGAGTAATCTCCTGATTTTTCCATAGCCCATACTCTTTCATCCCTCGTCATCTCCCTTGGAATAGGAATTTTGAGAATGTTGACCATGTCTTCCTGTAGGAAATGTGTTTGCAGTAGCTCCATATTCCAATACTGCTCCTCATAATTGATCAACTCAGAAACATAAGTAGTTTCCCTAATTGGGAAAATGGGGTTTTGATTTTAAAATCCTGCGCGGCTAGTACCCATTTATCCTAATCCTGCCATATATCAATGCTACTTTCATTCCCCAGCCTCCATCTGTACCCTCTAGCAACCAACTCTCTAGCAGATAGCAACTCTCCTGCCAGATAACATAGCTCTCCCCAACGCAGCCAGTGTGTTCTTCCTTCTTCTTATTGTTGTCCCCACCAAAAATTGGCTATCAACCTTTGAATTTCTTGTATGGTACCTACTGGAATATGGAATAGGGACATAGCATATGTCATCTGAGCTTGTGCAAAAGACTTGATGAGGATCTCTTTCCCTCCTACCCAGAGCAAACTTTCTCTCCAATGCTTCACCTTTTGACGTACTCTATCAACCAGATAGCCAAACACAGCCTTCTTCTCATGGCCCACTCTTGTAGGCAAACCCAAATATTTCTCATGAGCTTCAACCACCTTTATTCCTAAGATTTTCGCCAACTGTTCTCTTGTCTTCAATTTAATGTTTGGACTAAAAGACAACTCTGATTTCCCTAGATTTACCTGCTGCCCTGACTCTATTTCATAGAGTCTTAGTATGTTCTTCAATTTCTCGCACTCCTGTTTGGTAGCCTTAGTGAATAGGATACTGTCATAAGCAAACAATAAATGTGAGATGACTGGTGCTTCTCTTCTAACCCGCAAACCACTGATCTGTTTGTCCCTCTGTGCTTGGGATATTAAACCTGACAGGCCTTCCGCAACAGGTAGAAACAGGTAGGGGAAAATGGGGTCTCCCTGCCTAAGGCCCCTGGTGAGAGTAAACACCTCTGACGGATGACCATTAACTAGAATAGAAAAAGAGACCGTAGAAACACAAGTCATAATGAGGTCTACCCATTTTCTTGCAAATCCCAGTTTAACCATGATAGCCTCAAGGAAATCCCACTCAACCCTATCATAAGCTTTAGTGATATCCAGCTTCGCCGCCATGTAACCCGTCTTTCCTTGCTTCTACTAAGCCATTGTGTGGAAACATTCGAAGGCAATAATGATAGGGATGGCAATGGGTCGGGGGCGGATAGTGCATATCCGTTACCCTACCCAAAGTACTTCGGGTTTTACCCATACCCATACCCACATGTGAAACGGGTAGAAAATCAAAATCATGTCCATACCCGTTCGGGTTTCGGGTATCCACGGTTATCCATGGATATTAATTTCTCTTCATAACTCCAATCAATATGTTAAATTCACACGTATTCTTATATTAAGTAAGAGAAAAAGTACGACCAAAATTCACTAGAATGAAGAAAATTAACTAAAACAACACAATTTCATGAAAATGTTATATTTATATGCTAAATATAAAATATGTTAGAGAAAATTAATGATTATTTCTAGACAAAATACATATGCATGTAAATAATCGGGCGGGTTCGGGTCGGATAGTGAGAAATCCATGCCCACCCATTACCCGCAATATTCGGGTTCGGGTTTTACCCGTACCCACTAAATGTCCTTCGGATTCGGGTTTTACCCAACCCGACTAGGCAGGATTCGGGCGGATATCTACAGTTACGGATATTTTTGCCATCCCTAAATAATGATATTGTCTGTAATTAATCTTCCGGGAACAAAAGCACTCTGGTTTTCCACTATAATGTCTCCCAGAATCCTTTTCAGTCTATTAGCCAAAACTTTTGATAGGATTTTGTAGAGGACTTTGTACAAGCTAATAGTTCTAAAATCCACAGAGTGTAGTTAAGAGCTTGGGGGAAAGCTCCTGCTTCTAGGAATCCTTGAAGTTCTTTCGTCACATCATCACCAATGATATCCTAATTCTTCTGGAAGAACAAAGCTCATATCAAACGAGAAATATCTGTTTTCCTTGGCAAAGATAAAGTTGCTTGCTTTGTTAAAAAAAAAAAAAGTTGTTTGCTTTCCGTGAGCTTAACTATTATTATATATTCTTCTTGATTTCTTTTGCTTGGTTAAATTTATAACCCAATGAATAAATATAATTTATTAGTCAAATCTTTCGCTTTAAACAAAATAATAGTCAAATGTTTTCAAAAACAATTTATTAGCCAAATCATCAACTTTTCATTCGATCAACTGGTAGTTCACTATGATTTGTCACAGAAACATCAATCATACAGTGATTGGAAATATATAGCAGGTGCAAAAACATACTATCAGCTTATAATAAGTTATTACAATATAGCAGTCTTTCCTACAATGCAATGCAGGGATCTAATGTGAAATGAATGTGATCCTGGAGAGAAACCTCACCTGCAGGCAAAGCAACAAGCTGGTGATGAATAGAATAAAGAAATCACACAGAATTTAGGCAAGAAACTTTTAAGAACGAATTTTGCAAACAGGAAGCTAAGACGGGAAGAACTGAAGAAGAGAAGGATTATTTGGTACATGTTTCCAGTTGTAAGCCACTGTTTCACGAACCTAATTCTTATATATATATTGAAAATGGTGCTTTCAGTACAAACTTTACAAGCGAATTAAAAGTAAAACAAACTAATGGCAGTCATCCTTCTTCTTCTCCTCGTTTCCTTCATCTTCACCTTCACCCTACCCACTCTGGTCCGAACTCCGAACAGCCTAAGCATCTCTCTCATCCTGAAGAAAGAGAGAGAGAAGAAAAAGATCCATCAGTCAGTCAGTCTACCTGTTCTGTTCATTGCCAAGTTCATAAAACCCTAAACTTGACTACCTAACAATTCAACCAGTAAATTAACCAAATTGAATAAAGGGAGAAATCCTATTAATTACCTCCATCTTCTTCTGCTTTTGAGCCCTCTCAAGGTCTAGAGCCAATTGAAAATTAGCATCAGCAGCTCGATCCAGAGCTGCAAGATTCTCCATTGCAACTCTCTTATGCTTGTTGCAATATTGCCAGTTGATCCAGGCATTGCAGAGGTTTAAGGTGCTGAAAGTAAGGCAGAGATAGACGTACCCGCGATGGCTGAGGGAGAAGCGAGACATGGCTCGTTCGTTCGTGATCAAGAGGTCGAAAGAGACAGAAACTCGATCGATCGAGAAGAAATACCAAAACCTAGGGCAGGGTAAGTTTCAGGAGGCGATCGATGGATGGTGTGGGAACTGAAATTAAAGGCCAGTTTTTATTCCGTTTCCTCCCCGGCCATGGGTTAGTTAGCGGTGGGTAAAATGACTAGACTAAATTAGTGTATTATATAGGAATTTTATGTCTAGAGCGTGTGAAGGATTCTATCAACGATTTATCCAATGATCTATAATGATTAATCAATGAATCATTAATCACTACTTTTTTTCAATTTAATATCCGATCCGATTTTGAAAACATTGGTTATTTCTATTGTTAGAAGAAGCGTGGCAAACAAACCTTGAGAAGAAATATGGAGCGAAAAAGAGGATGGAAAGTTTCACCAAAAGCGAAAAATTGAAATGTTATTAGTCACAAAGAAACAACCCAAACAAGAAATATAAAAAAAAATTCACCATAAAAATCTCCTAATGAGTTACCGCATATTAATCCCAAAATCTTTCTAACCTGTTCATATGAATTGACACATGGAGGAGGACATTTATTGGTAGGGGTGTTCAAACGGTGTGGTTACCATGGTAATCGTTTTAACCAGTACTATTTGGATAATTTGGTTTGGTTAATTTGGATAATTGGTTTAGTTTGGTTAAAGTTTTTAGCTTGTTTGGTTTAGGTGGTTTGGTTTGGTTTCAGACACTCCTAACCAGCCAAACCAAATTAACCAGATAAATAAATAGCCATATATCTAATATATACACATACTTAATACTTTGAATAACCACTCAAGAGTTGAAGGTTCATCCCTTTTAGACTCATAAAATATAAAGCTTGATATTGTTCCTATAATGTATATTTGTATATGTAGAGTGTAGACCACAACATATGAACACCTAATTTAGATAAATCTCATACATTATGTTGGATGAAAGCTCGAACCCTAATCCGTTTTGGTGAGTACTCCTTGCCTCTGCCTCGCCTCTGTTACTCCTTGCCCCTCACTTCTGTTACTCTCACCTCTGTTTGCTTCACTCTCCTTTCTCCGCCACTTCCCACACAGTTACCCTCACCAGCAGCAAATGCTGGAACCTCCCGCCGGCAATACGCCATGGCGTGCTCAGCTACCTCCTCCGCTCTTATCTCCTCCATCCCGGCCACCAAATCCATGGCATCTCCCTTATCTAAACCTTCCAAAACCCTAGCCCTTCTTCCCAACTCCTTTTTCGGCCTCCGCAAGCCCCTCTTCCAATCCTCTGCCTTCACCAATGCTCTCTCCTCCGCTAACCTCTCCCTCAGGAAGAGCTTCGTCGTCAAAGCCACAATATGATTCTCTCACCCCCTCCTAATCAATTTCTTTTGTCTGTTAAATTAATTCGGGTTCCTTTCCATATTCCCATATCGAATTTCGCTGTAATTTCAGCTGGGTTATTGCTCTTCTATTTGTATGTTGCGCGTTCTGTTTGCAGAGTGAGCTTCCTCTTGTTGGAAATGTAGCTCCCGATTTTGAGGCCAAAGCTGTTTTCGACCAGGCTTTTTCTGGGAGGAAGATGAAATCGAAAATTAGAGAAGTCGCTGGGCATATTTAATTGCCCCAACCGGTTCTCTCTCCTCAGGATGACGTGGCGCGGTGGTGGCAAATCCAGTCCAGTTGGCGCCGACGTGGAGTCCATAATTCGGCCACCTCAGCGACGCGAACATGTAACTAACGGCATCCCTAACGACGTCACATTTAATAACGGAAATGGCTATAATTGTCAACTCATTTTCAATTTTTTCGCTATTTTTGTGTATTTCTCAGAATTTGGCTATATTTGTCACAACGTCCAAAGTTATGGCTATGAAAGTGAATTTTGCCTAATCATAATTATCAGTTTAACAAAGTACGATAAATCATAATAGAATAAAGGGTTAATATATTTGTATGGCCTGAACTTTGACCAAAATAAACATCATGGCCAATCTTTTCGATCTATAACATCCTGATCCAAACTATACATAAAAATAACTAAATTGGCCAAACCTGACGTTTGAATGTTAACTTGGACGGTCAAACGCGTTGACTAACGGTCAACGCGCCAAGTCAGCATAAAAATACTTAAAAATTTACTAAATTCCACATATTATGTAATTTTGAATTATTATAATAAAATTAAATAGAAAATTAAAAGTTAAAAAAAAAGAAATTAAACCCCTAAATCTCGTCTCCCCTTCCACTCCCCGCTGTCGAACAGCCCCGCACCACTGGCTACCGTCGTCGGGAACACCAGTACGTCCACCATCACCTTGAACGTCCGCTCACCACCTTTTTGAAGAAGACTCGGTTAGGGTCAGCAGGAGCCCGTACCCAACGGATGCCCCAACCGTGTAGAGAAATCTTTCCACTTCGCCGTCGCCACCACTGGAAGCCTTCTTCCCCACTTTGTCGTCGCCACCGCTGGAACCCTTCATCTACGGCGCTCTTCCATTAAGCCTCAATAAAAAAAAACCCCCGCTTGGAGTTGATGACGATTAGCGGCTAGAAAACCCATTTCAAGGGGAAAATTGAACTCCAATGGTCCATTTGTTATGGGATTTGAAATTGGCGGCGAAATCAATCTTCTCAAATCTCATCAATAAGCAAAATCGATCTTCTCAAATCCATTATACCTTATATAGCTCCTCCGTCGCATCTCCGGACTACTTTAGCCTTTTTCTTCATCTTCCTTCTGTCCTTCCGCCACCAACTCAGATCCGAACGTCAGAGCCTTGCAAATCGTTAGAGGAAGATGCACCCACCTCTGATTCCGATGCTGCGAAAACTCCTGCTGCTGGAACACGGACTCGGCGGCACCATTCCCGTTGTTGATCCCACTCTCCAATCTCTTGAAACTCCCCTCATCGCCAGGCGCCGCCGGCGGCCTCCTTGTTGTGGACAGAGATCTTCGCGGAGAAAAAGTTAGAAGAAAGAGAAAGGGGAGTGTGAGTCCTTTATTATTATTTTTGTTTTAAATTTTAATTTAAATATAATAATTCAGAAATATATATTATGTGGAATTCATGAATTTTTTAAATTTATATTTGCTGAGTTGGCAGTGTCATAGCGCGTTGACCATTAGTCAACGCGTTTGACCATCCAAGTTAGCGGTCAAATGTCAGGTTTGGCCAGTTTAGTACTTTAGTTATTTTGATGTATAGTTTGAGTCAAGATGTTATAGATCGAAAGATTGACCAGGATGTTTATTTTAGTCAAAAATTCAGTCCATACAAATATATTAACTCTAGAATAAACAATCAAACAAAATAATTATGAATTTTTATATAAATTGTATCTAATAAAAAAATAATTTATGTCACCCTTATGAAACTTCATTATGAACTTTTGCAAGACGGAACAAAACTTGTGTCAATGCTCACTACCAATAACATTTTTTTTCTTCTTTTTGTAGAATCCACGGTGAAATACATGAGATGTAGGAAAATTGGTAAGATTGCAAATTAATCGTTTTTGGCCTTGTTAGGTCCCAAGCAACCAAATTTAAGAAGTTGCTTTAGTGAATACTGGTCGTTAGATTAATCTAGGATGATTATTAATTAGTTGTTATTAATTGGTTAATGGTAATTTGGAAATCTTGGTTAATTGTGATGAACCCGTGAGAATAGGCTTGGCAATAGGACCTGAATTCCAGGTACCTGCCTAGACCCGACCCGATTTGTGGCCGTGAAAATTTGATCAAATGGATTGTTGACGGGTTGCGGGGAAACCCGAAACCCACTAGCCGGTTGACCTGCGATGGTGGGTTTGGTGTCCGCCCCGACAACACTCGATGCCCCTTCACCTCGATTAAGCCACCCCATCCCAGCTCATTTCACGAAAAAACTCATCCATTTAACCTAGTATCGCTCTGAAAATCTAATCCACAACCCTTATTCTCCTCAAATCTCGCACCTTGCTCCTCGATTGTAGAGGAAAACGACACAAAATCCCTTCATTCATTGCTCACAAGAGCAGATACCCAATCAATCATTTGAAACCCTTTTGATTTTTTCAAATTGAGTCATTCCCGATGGCGATTATAGCGCAATTTTCTCTTTATCGACTCTTCAATATCTTCTCCTCCTTCTCCTTCATATATGAACCTATAAGTACTGTAATTGAGTGTTTTTCCATGCAGATTCTTAGAACCTAGATCAATCACGAGGCTATTGAGGGAAGTAGTAAGCTAGTAGCTGCCTGCCATTCCCCATTTCCATCCATAGCAATTGCAAGGAGCGCCAAACCGTAAATATTCTTCTTGCCTGAAGTCTAGGATTTGTGAAATTCTGTTCAGATTATTTATATCGAGATAGAATTCTTAGGAGATATTTGTTTCAGGGAATTATTCAATTATTAGAACACATAATGATAATTAATTCTAAATTTTCTATTCAAAAATTGGTTTGGTATCAGAGTCTTCAATAGAGGATTCCAACTAAACAATAACAAATGATGTTTTTCATAAGTCCAAATGATTTTTTTACAATCAACAAAGTAGAAATACCAATTATGAAATTTAGAAAACATAATATTCCAAGAATATTCTATCAATTTTAACGGAATACACTTAGTAGGAAACTTAACTGATATCGAGTGCACATATAATAAAGTTCATACGCGATGCCCTATGCTTAGTTAAGTAGTATAGCTCCCCAATTTTCATACTTTAGTGATATCCGAGATATTTGACCCTATAATTTACTTTCTTATACCAAACAAGAAGTATCTGTTTTCGTTGGAAGATAAAGTTGCTTGTTTTTTGTGAGCTTAACTATTATATGTTCTTTTTTTATGTCTTCATTGTGCTTGTTTAAATTTAGAATTTATTAGTGAAATCCTTAGCTTTAAACAAAATAATATTCAAATCTTTTCAAAAATAATTTATTAGCAAAATCATCAACTTTCCATTAGGCAAACTATTAATGGACTCTGATTTAACAAATGAATTATCGAGTAAATTTTTTGAGTAAGCTGGCCATAAAATTGAAAAAAAAATACGCAATTTTTATTAACCATTATCCCTCGTGTTCTCCTCCATCGGGACTAGGGGTGGGCATTCGGTCGGTTCGATTTCAACCGAACGGAAATTATGAATATCGGGTTCCCGAATTGTCCCAAATCTCAAAC